TCATTGCACTTGATGTGAAAAGTTGTTGAAACTTGCCTCCAAATTATTAGCTGCTTATTCACGTTTGATGCTGAACTCGCACCGTCCATTTTAAGGTGGTGAGTGAACACATGTTAATGCCAATGTTGTCATTGCAGCGATAGAAAAACTCACAAATAGCTCATTCAAACGTCACATTTCCACTTCCTTTCAATATCCAGGAAGGAAGCCAATACATCCCAAATATCAACGCCGCTGTCTTTTGCATTTGGAGCCACAGTCTGCGCAGTAGCGATCAGGAGGCAGAGCATAGTGAAGTCCACACTTACTTAATTGCCTGGAGCACATACAGTGCTTCAATTAAATATGAAAAGAATATTGTATTAACACAAAATGTGTGTGTATCACACAAGGGGAGAGGCGAAGAGAAACATCAGGAGAAAGAGTAAAAGAAGGAAGATGACATTAATGTCTCCATCAGTTTTTTTCCCAGATGTCAATTTTGGTTTTGTTGTCTCGACGCTGATGATTTCACACAGAACCCACATCTGACCAACGGTCAACACTAATGCTTCATTTGCAGAAAATGTTTTATGGTCACTTATGTTGTCTGACAAAATGAGTCAATCGCTCTGTACAGCTCACCACAGAAGCATTTTGTCTGACAGTAAAGACGTTGTGTTTTAGACACTTTCACTTTTCTCTTTCTCTTCTCCCTCTCTGCTGTGACCAAGAAACCAGAGGAAAACAAATCTCCAACCAATTTTAAACAGTTGTGTCTTTAATGTCATTCACAGCAGAATCTCTTCATCTCGTGATAAAACTAAAAGCTGATGCACAAAGAGTCCCTGGGATGATGAAACAACTCTTCTGGGGATGTGAGAGCACTCTGATATTGTGAGCTGGATGCATCTGCCAGTAATGGGTGAATAAACATGATGGAGTGAGCAGAATGAGAATGGATAAGTGCTGCCGCGGTGATGACATGTTTTCATGGACACACGATGTAGGAAATCAAGCTCACACTGTGATACCTTTACAAACAGCGGTGATAGAAAGTCCCTATGCATTTATTCAAGTGTGTGTGTGTGTGTGTGTGTGTGTGTGTGTGTGTGTGTGTGTGTGTGTGTGTGTGTGNTGTGTGTGTGTGTGTGTGTGTGTGTGTGCCAGATGCACAGATTTATACCCAATGCTGGTATATGCATTTTAAAGGTTTCTCTGCGTCCTATACAACACAACCTGAAGGTTATATAAATCGAAAAATGTTTATGATCATGTGGTGGGAATTATGTCATCATGACATCACTATGAGGTCAGATAATTACATCATACTGTCAGTGTAGAGACATGATATACCGCTTATTTAAATTAAAGAATAATTGATCATCGTATGGTATAAATGGCATCATGATGACATCACCATGAAGAAAATAGCTTTTCCTGTTAGTGGTATATGCATCAGCCCCTCTGATGAGTTATTTTATCTGACATGAGGCGCATACCTCCCCCGTCCCAGTCCCCTTGAATTCAATCAAGCAGCACCAAATTTTACACACTCATAGATACCAGTGTTCTAAATATTCCAGATTTGTTTATCAAGATCCACGAGTTATTCCCTGGGAAAACGTTCAAAATGTTGAAAACTGTGCTTGCAATGATAAAGAAAGTAAAAAAGAGGAAATCCTGGATCAGCCTCCTGACCCGGATCTGCACCAAAAAGGTTTTGGGGAAAATCCACTGTTTTTGACAATCTCGCCCACATAGCTTTGTTTTCAGATGTTTCCAGCTAAAAGAAGCTTGACTCAAAGTGAAGTTTATCATATCACTGAGCAACTTGCAGCCTGGTGTGATTATGCAGTACAAATCTGAATGGGGAACAACAAGAAGAATGGGTAAAAATAATTACAATTTCACAACCGCTCTTCTTCCTGACAGAAGTGGGCCATTTGATTACAGGTAACGTGTCATGGCAGTCAGGTTCATTCGGCGTTCTCGTCTGTCAGCGAAGCTCTGCAGCCATATTTAGGTTGGATGAATTATTCTTTGGCTGTGATTGTACTGTGGCTCTTTGGTCATGATGAGGAAACATGAGCCGTTTTTGGACATGAACTCCTGAGAACAGGGCTGGGCTTTCTCCAGAGTTTGCCTTTTCTACACAAAAACACAGAAATCTCAGGAGTGTTCAGATGAGGGCACTGCTTTTTCATCCAGAGATATTTCTATTATTGATTTTTTTCTAGTTTTGCGTCTGTCACGTGTTAGAAACATCATCAACACGCCCACTCGCTTGCGATGAATCCTCCGGAGGATCCCCTGCAGTTCTCACTAGGGGCTGCCAGGAGAAAGTCCCTCGCCACTAAATCAGATATTTGCGATCTCACATTCAGTCCCTTTGGAGAAAGGCAGGAGATTCTCCGGAGTTCAGTGCATGTCTGTAAGCAGGAAGAGTTACCTCGTGCTGCTGCATATGTGCTGGTCTGAATCACATGTGAACCAGGAGAGATAAAGTTCAACTGAGCTGCGATTTGACGCTTTGCTGCCGCTTGAGAGACTCATCTGGGCTCGGAGCATTTATTTGCATCATGTTTCCAGCGTTCACTGAACCACCTGCTAAGTCTTTGTGATTACCACTGTGTTCTGCTGAGATAAAAAAAGGTCTGTACGAAACTTAATGGTGCATGAAGGGGATTCTGCCCACTGACCATTATGCTGTTTATTTCCTGTGCACCAAGAAAATCCAGCATTTCTGTAGCATGGCAACTCATCATTTAGGCATCCACTGAATTACAGTGGTATTTTATTTATTGAGTCTTTATTTTCTTCAATTTTTTTTCATCCAGGGAGAAATTCAGACACAGAAGGCGCAGAGTCACAACTTTTTCATACTTTGCACTGAGCTGTTGATCCCTGTGAGGGAGATCTGTGCAGATTCTGACACAAGAGAGGAACATGACAGGGAACTTTCACACTTCATTTCTCCCTGTTTATTTCTCCGACAATGTTCCCTGAGAGCGGAGCTGTTTGTTCAATTAAAAGCTGATCAACAAACACCTTTGATTTGCCCAGTGAAGCCACGTATGCACATATAATTGCTTGAGGAAGTGAATTATGAGGATGCAGACAGCTGATGACGGAAGGTAGGTGATGATGCACATGTGCTAAATATTCAAATCAATAATATATATATCAAATAATATTTGGGCATTTTCTCTTTGCTCTGCAGTGTCAGTCTGCGTCTCCAGCCTCAAGAGAGAAACAGAATATGGAAGTGGCAGATTAGGGAACGGTTAAGAGCTGTCATTGTTCGCCCGCAACTTCTCTCCTCTGTTTATGCATCATTCCTCCTCAGCCACCCTCCCCTCCTTCCCCACATACTCTGCCATCTACCAACACCTTGACACAAACACATCAGAGACAGACAGCCTGCTGCACACAGTCTTGTCTGGAAACTATGTCCATGTATTCAGTATATATTTCAAGACGGATAAACATCTCTGACTTTGGACATGCAACCAAATATAACAGTATTGTTTGAAAGTTGATGATGATTCCATAACAGCCACTGAACTATGGAAGGGGAAGGATCAATCGTGAATGACATGCATTGTGTTGTTTTTCATGAATCAATCAGTCTAAATCAACAGTGAAGACAGATGGACATGCAACAATGCAATGCACACACAATGCAGCAGCAGCCGCCCATTACTGCTCGGTCCACACAGCGGAAGATGATTAAGGGGAACTGAACGTCTACGTGTGGTTGTGACACACAGAGGCCTTCCCTTCGTCTGTGAAATCTCTCCCTCACTGGAGCTTTGTCCACAACGACAATGAAATAATGTCGATGATCTTTGTCATGCATGTGGATTGCAACACTCTTTCAGGACAGAGCCGCGATCAGACACAACTTTACATATATCTGAATCCATTACAGATGATGCCTAAGACATCTCACTTACAGTGTCTGTGTAAACGTCTTCATAAAAAGGACATATTGGATGTACTGCTCTGCCACAAATGATCAATGGCTGTTTGAACGTGCTTCAAGTGCAGCATAACAAGTGTGCAATAATTAGTTGGATGACTCTACAGCCTCCTCTGTTCTGCCAAAACTGGAGGCACTGGCATTATGTGCCGCGCCTTTCATTGTTTTCCCATGATGTTGCATCGCCAAATGTCATGTATTTTCCACAACAAGATACATGTAATTTGGGAGAGAGCTCCTCTGGGAGAGCGTAGTGGAAATAATTGTGCAGCTGTGGAGGATGAGAAGAGGACTCAGACCACATGGTGTGTGTACTGCAGTAAATAAATAGATGAAGAGTGGAGGTGCTCAGGGTGGACTTTTAGTCACACTATAAAATGGCACCAAAATATAGGCCTATGTTTCATCTCTTTATCATTATGAAAATAACGTTCATGTCTTTTACTAAGTGAAGAATGGCAATATTATAATGTGAAATGACTGTGTTGTATGCCAAATGTTATATGCAGAATGGTCCGCTGTGCAGTCACACACACACCAACGCACACGTGTATATATGTATAAAACATATATACAGAGAGAGAGACAGAGAGAGCGAGAGAGGTTAATATCTATCATCCTAATAATAATAATATAAATAATACAATTTACATAACAATATGATATATTCATATATGTAGTAATATAAAATCTTAAATAATAGCTAGTCATGCTGTGTATATGCCATACTTACACACACACACGTTATTATATATATATTATTATTGTTATTTTTTAATTGCAGCAGTTGTTCTGTTCTCAAATGAATCAATATATGAATTCATAAACTAATTAATTAATTAATTAATAGGTGTAGACGATGCTGAGCTTCCTCCTGCGCTCCAACACCTCGGACCACGTGACCAGCAGGCGCACAAAGCCTTATAACCGCTCACACACACACACACACACACACACACACGCACGCACTCCTTCACACACACACCGGCTGCCTGTCCGCTTCCTAGTTGACACTGACAGTCTCTGGTTTGTCATCATCTGATGATTCCTCCTGAAAAGCATCTAAAAAACAACAAGTGTAGCTGCTGCATTTGAATTGGAGCCGCTGGGACTGGACACTGGTTCACTCCCACTTCAACAGCTTTTCCTCGCGTCGTGGATCGATGTTTGTACTGAGGGAATCAAGGTACGTTTCTTATTACTACTTTTCACTCAGTGTCTCCTTTTTATATTTTTCACTTCTGTTTTAATTTTGCGTCTTTTTCATTGGTTGTTGCTCCAGATTGTGCGTGCAGCTTTTAATTGAGGAACCATGAAACCTCTTTTATTTGTATTTTAAACTTAAACATGTTTCGTCCTTCAGCTTTTTAATTGAGAAACAACACTGTTGTCTTCTTCAAAATTAAACATCTTGTTCCACCCCCCATCCCTTTAAAACACTTAATTAATTTGTTAATATCATAATTAAATGGATCATTGGGCAGACTGTATGTACACTCTCTGTTTAGTTTCTCCCTTGATGCTTCATTATTCCAATGATTATTGAATTAAAAGCGTAATGACCTACTTTAATTAATAAGAAAGCCCTGGCTGTCCTACATACTTAATGCAGTGATTTCCCCTGAGGCTGCACAGGTTTGTCATCAACTGTTCACTTTCCCACTATTGTCTGGGATGCATCTGCTCTGGAGTCAGCTGGTTGATACACAGATTCCCATCATGTCTGCCAGCAACAAATTCATTCTCCACCGTATTTATCATCCATAAATATTAATGGATCTCAAAGTAATCTGATTTATATATATTTAAATTTTAAATATATCTGGGTGTGTTTATTTTTGACTGAAGCCTTCATGGAAATATTTTTTGTTCATTTTTTTCTTCTTAGATGTCCCGTTGCTCGGCTCTAATGCGGTTTGACCACACACGTCTCCACTGAGCATCTCTGCAGCTACAAACCAGTCATGAAGTTGGCTTTGCACAGGATAGCAGGCACCACCATGAGCACGTTAACAACAGGTGTCCAGTATCTCGGCTCCAACGACGCCAGCTATGACGACCCCTCCCTTGACTCGACCCTGATCAAGAGCAAGTTCCACTTTGAGAAACCTCAACCCGCCTCCATCGGCCACTCGCTCTCTGGACTTGTCTCTGGAAATAAGGAGGTCCTCTACAGAGGTCTCTCTGCCATCTTCCCCACCAACGTATCAGACCTTTTACCTGCTAATGGCACGTCTGTGGATAGCGGTGGAGCGGCACAGTGTGGAGAGGACTTTGCCGATAACATGGAGTGCTTTATGATTTTGACTCCTGGTCAGCAGCTCGCTGTCGCCATCTTGGCACTCACCCTGGGCACGTTCACGGTGCTGGAGAACCTCATGGTGCTGTGCGTGATCCTGCACTCTCAGACGCTCCGGTCGCGGCCTTCATACCACTTCATAGCCAGTCTGGCTGTGGCTGATCTGATCGGAAGCATCATTTTTGTCTACAGCTTCCTGGATTTCCATGTGCTCCACAGGAAGGACAGCCCCAATATCTTCCTCTTCAAGCTGGCAGGGGTCATCGCCTCCTTCACCGCCTCTGTAGGAAGTTTGTTTCTCACCGCAATCGACCGATACATTTCCATCCACAGGCCCATGTCGTACAAGCGCATTGTCACAAAGACTAAAGCAATCGTTGCCTTCAGTATGATGTGGATGATCTCCATTGTCATCTCGCTGCTGCCGCTGCTGGGCTGGAACTGCAAGCGTCTCAACTCCGTCTGCTCTGACATCTTCCCTCTCATCGACAAGAAGTACCTTATGTTCTGGATCAGCATGACGACCATCTTGGTGCTGTTCATCATCTACGCCTACATGTTCATCCTCTGGAAGTCCCACCACCACGCTGTCCGCATGCTGAGCCGCAGCTCTCAGAGGAGTGTGATTGTCTACACCGCGGAGGGGACGAAAGTTCAGACAATGAGGCCCGAGCAAGCCCGCATGGACCTCCGCCTGGCCAAAACCCTGGTTCTTATCCTGGTGGCCCTCATCATCTGCTGGGGCCCGCTGCTCACCATCATGGTCTACGACCTCTTTGGGAAGGTGAACGACTTCATCAAGACCGTGTTTGCCTTTTGCAGCATGCTGTGCCTGCTCAACTCCACCATCAACCCTGTAATCTACGCCATGAGGAGCAAGGACCTGCGCAGGGCCTTCCTCAACATCTGCCATATGTGCTGGGGAGCGACGCAGCCCCTGGACAACAGCGCTGAGAGCGACTGGAACAGCAGGAGCATGAGAGGCACAGCAGGCGGGGCGGGGAAAGATGGAGCCGGCTGTGGAAACACCCAAGTGAAAGTAGCCCGGGTTACTGTTTCTGGAGTGACGGAGGCTCACACTGCAGAGGCTGTTTGAGAGACGAGCTGCTCTGCTCTGCTACAAGTGTGAAATAAAGATGGTGTAGAACAGCCCCGACCCTCTAGTGCACTCTCTGTGACTGTGAAATGTGCCAAAACATGAGAAACAGACTTGTTATCGCTTTAAATCTGTGATATTAACACAAAACTGTTCTCCTCTGTCGTTACTACTGAGACGTGGTTTGTTAGGTCGCACAAGACTGAGAAAAAAAGGCCAACTTGATTATTTCATTCAGGAAATAATACAATCGTATTCCCAACTACTATGTCCAACAACATGTTCTGTAATGTTTAATGTAGTTTGACTTTCTTTTTACAGATTTCAGCTTAAAGGTAGAATTTGTAATTTAATTTTTGTACTTTAGGTTTTTTCACATTCTATCACACTAATATTGTGGCAGTAATGCAAACAGAAACTGTGTCAGCCGTCATCCAACGATAGCTTGTAAGTAAGATTAGCATCCCATTAGTGATTTGAAATCAGCTACTGATGATTTTGTAAAACCATGATATTGTGAAATCTAGCATTCTATTGAGTTTTACTTTAGTTTTTCTTTACTGTGCTTAGCAAAGCAAAAATATTGAGTCATACTGAAACCTAAATGTCTTTTTGATCAAATCAGAACTTCAGTGACTTGGGAATGTTACATAGCTGCTTATTACTCGTGCTTATAATACAGTTAGCATTTTGTGTGAAGCTTCACTGCCATGTTCTTGTGAGGTGTCCATTGTGCCACTGTGTTCCTTAAAGGTGTGTATAAGCCAAAACATGAGTTCCACGAATATATGACATTTGTCTATTTTTGTCGTAAGTGTTTTCAGCATTCCTGGTTCTTTTCATTAAAAAATGTGAAAAATGACAAACCCACACAAAACCGCCTGCAGCTGATTTTATTGATAAGATAAGATGTGTGTGTGTGTGTGTGTACTTCTGACCCCTCGTCAACGGCTCTGGTTTTACTGATGGGACATGAGTTATGAGTAATTCAGTGAAGGGGGACAATGCAGCAACATTAAATTTGACAAATGAATGGTTTCACAACAATGAAGCTAAATTAAAGTGAGCGTATTTTTGGTTGTATTTATATTGCTTGAGGGGAGTTAAGAGCATGAAGCCAAGCTATATGCACTTTGTCCACATGTTTTTATTCTTACATCATTTTAAGCACATTTTAAAATATATATTGACAAAGGAACGTCATTTTGTATAATGTAGAAGGAAAATCATTTTTGGGGGGGTTTATATATTTCTTGTGGTGACATTATTTTGTGTCATATAAATATAAGTTGAAATATAAGTATATTGAGTTTTCTCAACAATGAGGCAAAATTAAAATGAACATGATTTGTTTAAGGTTATATATTTCTTGAGGTGAGGTATGAGCACGATGTTGCTGAGACCTTTTGTTCAAACCACATTTTTTTGTTCTTACGTCATTTCAGCCTCGAAAATATTTTTTAGTGCAACAACTTTACATAACTGTCATAGAAATATAGATATCACTAGTTTATCTGTATTATATGTGTGACACTGCCCTCCTGTGGGGACAAGAACACATTATCATTATTATTATTGATTCATTATTCTCAATGTATTGATCCTGCTGGTGGCAAATAATATCAATGGTTGTAAATTAAATTAATTAATTCAATCTAAACTGTGAACTTCATATTTTCTACGACGTCAAACTTTAATTCCCCTCGACTGTCTCGCTGTGGGACCCAGTATGCATTGCGGTGGGTTTCACACGTGACGTCACAGAGCGGAGAAGCCGACAGCCCCGTATGAAAAACAAGCAGCAGGAGTTGTGTTAGCTAGCCCCGCTATCTCTAGCTAGCTCCGCTATCTAACCGCGAACTGTCGGCCCGCAGCTGGCGGCTCGTCGCTGCAACTTTTGGAACGCAACTTTCACAACAACCCGAGGGGTCGGCCGCTGTGGGACGGAATAGTTTCTCCCTCCAGCGACAGGTAAGAAGCGGCTTTATTTACAAACGTGCAGCGCAGCGCAGGGTCCGAGCGGCGGCGGCCAGAGCTAACGTTAGCTTTGTTTTCTTTTTGATTGTTGGCTAGCGAGCGCGGCTAGCGTTAGCCTGCTAGCAGACATCTAAAGCCTCAGCTGCGCAGTATTCCTGGCGTGTGCTCCTCCGCGGAACGATCTGACCCCAGCGGGACAATTCGCGTCGGAACCGGCTCAACACATTAAAAAGGAGCCGCGACTAACAGCTCTGTGCGATCACCCGTGTTGTCACTTCATTATTGTCTTGTTTCGGTATTTTTGCACCCCCCTTTCCTCTCCCTCCTCCTCCTCCTCCTCCCTTTAACAAACTAAAGTCATGGCGTGTGGAGCCACCCTGAAGAGGACCATGGATTTCGACCCACTGATGAGTCCCGCTTCACCCAAACGACGAAGATGCATCCCCGTGGCCCCGTCGTCCTCGTCCCCTAGGAAGTATCTTAGCATGGAGCCCTCGCCATTTGGGGAGTCATCGTCCAGACTTAGTGCAGGTATGGTGTTGGCCTGCTGGCTGAAAGGCTTTAGCAACATGTTGAGCCTCACTACCACTAACCAGAAGACAGCTATGCTTCCCTGTGATAATGTGAATCCTTTATTGTCTTCACTGATGCACTTATTGTGTTGATTGTGTTCGTTTGTCCCTCCAGAACAAATCCTCAACAGCATCAAGCAGGAGTACAAACGCATTCAAAAGAGGAAGCATCTAGATGGAGGCTACCAACAGTCAGAGTGCTGCTATTCTCCAGAGTCCCCACCCCAGTCGTCTACTATGAATGTTTCCAGCATGCCAGGTTAGCAGGTTAAACACCATGCCTATAGCTGACACTGTTAATGTGACACGTAATGACTTGATCACAAACGCTACACACTCACAGTGATTCTCAGGGTCTTTGCTCGATTTGTGCAGGAACGTCCTCCGGAGGTGTTTCTCCCACTAGAAAAGAACAGCCGTTATTCACCCTCAGACAAGTTGGAATGATCTGTGAACGCCTGCTGAAAGAAAGGGAAGAGAAGGTGCGGGAAGAATACGAGGAGACCATGACCTCGAAACTGGCAGGTTTGTATGTTCAGAGTAAGAAAACATTCATCAGAGAAACCCAGTTACAAGGTAACACACTTAGTTTTACTTCCTCATAGTTAAATTAGAGGATGTTAATAAGGTTTTTCATGAAGACAATTAATAACTGAAGCACTTCCTCTGTCTCCTACACCTGATAGTGATCGGGAACGAGGGTTCATTTAATTTATATTGTAGTCACAAATGTAAGTAAACTAAGTTCATTATATAATCTATTTAAAATGATGACTATAACGTCACCAAAATCCATATTCATATGTTAAACTAGTGACTGTAAACTGTCTGATAGGTTGTCAAAATATAAACGTCTGAAATCTAGACATTCTCTCAATGTGTTGTAGTAACAAGCAAATATGGATGTAATGTGATAGTGTATGTTATGGATCAAGTCACTAATGCCGGTAAACTAAATTCATTCCTTTATTGGAAACAACGATAATATCTAAGTTTTCAAAGTGTATTTCTTAAACAGATTGCCTGACAGTTTGATAAAAACCCAAAAGCTGTAAAATCAAAATATTCTGTCGATATTCTCTTTAACAAGCAAATATTTCGTTTTCATTATAAAAGTCTATGAATCTATGAAAATTGTCTTCCTGTTCGTGGCCTTATAAATCTTTTTTCAAATTAGGATGGATTAAGAGTCATTGGTGAACTGGGCTGTTGTTTTTAAATTAGTTTCTGAGAACATTTTAAGATTGAACACGATTCAATGATGGAAGTTGCGTTTAAGTCTTAACATGTTGATTTCCTGTGATTTTCAGAACAATATGACACCTTTGTGAAGTTCACACACGATCAGTTAATGCGACGATTCGGGGAGCAACCTGCGAGCTGTGAGTTATTTTCATTACGTCAGAGTTGACAGGCTCGTGTTTCGTGTAATGACTAAACGTGACAAAGCGTCAGGTCTCAGTGTGAGCTCCGTCTCTTTGAAGTTTAAAAGTAACAAATGTGGTTTTTCTGTTTTTGTCTCATCTCCCTCCGCTCCAGATGTTTCCTGAGTGGGACACAGAAAAGTCTGCAAGACGGCCTCCTCTTGCTGCAAGCTGTCATGTGATATTTCAAGAAAGAAAGAAAAAAAATGCTCATCATTGTAAGAGATTCAGTTTAGCTAGTTTAAATCAAACTTTTCTTACTGTGCCATATTTCTGTCTTTGGGCAAAGGTTTATATGAAGCTGTTGTCAGTTGTTACCACTCTGTTGTAAGCAACTAGGTCCTAATGTAAATGAATGGACCCTATCTCTACCAGTGGCCTATGTTCCTCCTGCTGTACGTATCTACAGTTATCTCACTTTTGTAATGATTCCCAGCATTCCAGGCTTTGTCACTTGTTTCTCTTTGTTACATGTAAATACGATAAAGCAGCGCAGAGTTTAAAACAAGGTTTGCTGGTCAATCTGAAAGGAAGTGGAAGAAACACGACTGAACAGGGAGAATGTTTGCAGTTCGTCCTCTGTTCATCGCTTTTTAAATTGAGAATAACGTGGGCAAATTTTTTTTCTCTCCCTACCAGTGTTTTATTTATTTTGACATTTGTTTTGCTGGTATCATTTTGAAACCAATGTACTTATTGGGAAAAAAACAATAAATCTTTTAAGAGTTCAGAATCATAGTGGTGCATGATCAATACCTGAAATGGTTTTATTTCTTTGTAAGGTGCTTTCACAACCAAGCTTCTCCTTAGGATGGTACTTGTTAAAGCTCGTCCCCTCATGTAATCTGTTACCACTGAACTGTATGAAAACATTTCCCGATTGCAATGATCAGTTTTCCAATTAACTGTAGACTTTGCACATGTATTCAAGCTGCGCCTCCTATAGAATAAGGGAAATGCTGAATTCAGATTTCCTCCAGTATGATGGAGTATAACAGCCACTTAAAGGGGGAAAACTGGGATTTAGAGGTTGGTATTTTGTGAAAATAAAGTTGTAATATTGTAAGATATAACATTATAAAAAAGTAACCATTTTATAGAGGGACCATCAGATCAGTCTGTTGCCTGCATCAAAATGAGGAACTTGAAGCATAAGTTATTCTTAAGTATAAGTTTGACAAATAACAAAATACTTAATCTTTTGACTCATCAGCACATTAGCAGAAATAGGACTCT